CACTCACACACACTCACTCACACACACACACACACACACACACACACACACACTCTGCTGACAGAGTGTTTCCGGCTGTGTTGGCAGCATACAGGTTTGGGAGAGCCCTTGAGTGTCAGATGGTCTGGGCTTTTTCTGGAAGAACTCACTGTGGGGAACTGTTGGTTTTTGAGGCACTTTCAAATTTACAGTATTTAATCAGCTGTTCAGATGCATACATTTAAATAGTCATAATAAACCATAATAACGAAAGACAAAATAACAGTATATCAGTTATATTATCCATTATGGACATAAACAAACTGCCTTTTGCTTTTATGAATCAGGAAAAAAGTCAGGAAACAGAAGAGAGAGGCTGAGATCAGGAAATGACCCAAGACAGAATTGACCTTAGATTAAGCATGTCAAGTTTTGACTCCAGTGCCATTTCCTCCTGAAGAGTGTCAATGTTCAGGCAAGAATCTGACATGGGCCTGTGGATTATTTTTTTAAGTGGTTTCTCAGAGAGTGTTCACCCTCTTCAGTGGCTTGGTTTGAGCAACCAGTGAATATATATCATACATATCTGTAATCTTTTCTAATTTGATTCTGAACACTAACAGCTGTAGTGTGTATATTTTTGTGCTATTAGTGGCAACAAATGCAATTGCAATATGTTTATTTTAGCTGCACGACTTTGCAACATTATCTCAAACAAAAGTTTTCTTAGAAAACAGTCTTTCCTTTTGCAGTTCTGTTTGGTGTCACACCGAAATGAAATCCTGCTTACTAAGTAATGTAACATCACAAATAGCAGCTTTTTTGCTTTAACAGTTAATTGAAGCAAAACTTTAATCGATATATTTTAATTTACTGAAAGAGAATGGCTAATATTCATATGGATAAGCAAACATGCAATAAATGCAATTCAGTGCCTCTACTGAATGTATGAAATTATTTTACTTTGAATCTAAGCTGTAAACACATATTCAGGATTGTGTAGATGTTATGTACAAATGTAACAATTTAAAGGGGTCATCCGATGCCCATTTTCCACAAGTTGATATGATTCTTTAGGGTCTTAATGAAAAGTCTGTAACATAGTTTGGTTAAAATTTCTCAATGGTAGTGTAAAAACACCTTTTTTTACCCTGTCAAAAACAGCTCTTTTCAGAGCAAGTCGCATTTTCCTTTAAATGTTAATGAGCTCTGCTGACCCCGCCCCTCTCTTCCGAGCTGCTCTCAGAGAGACTGTTTACTTTAGCCGCATTCATCGTGAAACTTGCTAATTAGCACATTATTAGGAAAGGCGATTTGCAAAGATTCATTAAAAAACCTTATACTCACTTCTTCTGTAGGTGAAGCTGGATCACGAATGATTCGCGTGAACATAGACGCATTTAGGTAGATTGGGGGCGCATTCCCTTCAGAAATAAACGTAATCCACTGCATCTTCAGCGGCTCAGATGTCGGGAGTAAATGACGACTGCTATGGTCATTATTACATCCAACAACAGAACACCTCAATCGCTTAGGAGTCATTCTTGTCTACATCTGCTCCGGCGGTGAAACAATGGTGGACTGATGACAGCCCACTCAGGGCGGGTCTAAGGTAAGACACCAGTCCAGTCCAGTCTGTGCTGAAACACTACTGTCAATCAAATTATCATGGGAGGGGCCTGTCTGTGTGACGTCACACAGACAGGCATCTGAGATCGGCTCGATTTGAGAAAGGGGAAAACATTTAACCAGATAAAAAAAAAACCACTGGGTGGATTTTTATCATTATAGGGTGGTTGTGTACACACACTGCCAACACACATTTCAGTTCAAACAACTTGTAAAAGTGCATGTAGCATCCTATGACCCCTTTAAACAATGCCAATCTAGAGGTTAAGGAGAACACTCTTAAAAATAAAGGTGCTTCACAATGCCATAGAACAGTGTTTCTCAACCCTGGTCCTGGGCGCCCCCCAACAGTGCACATTTTGTATGTCTCCCTTATCTGACACCCATTTCAGGTCCTGGAGTTTCTTCTAATGAGCTCATGAGTTGAATCAGGTGTGTTTGATTAGGGAGACACACAAAATGTGCAGT